TGTTCTGCATGTTGAAGGAGCTCACGTCGGAGTTGTTGGTGCTGGTGTGGTCGCTCTGGTTCTTCTTCCTGCGCTTCATCACCAGCACGAAGAGCCCCGCGGCCACGAAGACGGACATGATGAAGACCAGCAGCAGGCTGAGGTTCAGCCGCGCGGTGGGGGTCACCGCGCTGGTTCTGGAGGGGACCTGGATGGAGGAGGGCGTGGGCGTGGAGACCACCACGTCCGAGTAGTCTGGGCACAGCAACTCCGACTTGATGGAGCGCATGTCCGTCTCGGCGAAGTGCTTGGGCGCCTTGCAGATGACTTCGTCCACCAAGACGCCCACCTTGAGCTGCTCGACCCACAGCTTCATGCCCACCACGTCGCAGGTGCAATCCCAAGGGTTGTCGTGGAGGTCGATTTGGATGAGTGACTTCAGCTGGTCCAGGACGCCACTCACCGGCAAGGAGGTGAAGTGGTTACTCCTCAGGTTCAGCCTGAGGAGGGTCAGGCTGGAGAAGACGCCCGGGGGCATGGTCTGCAGGAGGTTGTTATTGAGAAATAGCAGCTGGAGGTTGGGGACCGGATCGAAGGTCCCAGGCTGAATCTCACGAATGAGATTATACTGGAGGAAGAGATACTGCAGGCTCTGCAGGCCATAGAACAGCTCTGGGCTCAGCCTCTCGATCCTGTTGCCGTTCAGGTAGAGGCGCCTCAGGTTGGTGAGGTCTCCGAAGGCGTGGTCCTGGATCATGGAAATGCGGTTGTTGCCCAGGTGTAGGAGGTCCAGCCCCGTGGCCTCCAGGAAGTCACTCCTGCGCACCACCGCGATGTAGTTCTCCGTCAGATACATCTTCTTGGGATTGTAGGGCTTGGGCTGCAGCTCTGCGATGCTCTCGATCTTTCGCTCCTGGCAGTTGACGTTGAGGCCCAGATCCGAGATTTGCAGGTTGCAGTAGCACTGGGTGGGGCACTCCAAAGGCACGGGAGATTTGGTCTGGTAGGCGATGCTGGGGCCAGAATTGCTGGAGCTCAAGTCTTTGAATGGCTGCCTAGAGGTGGGGCGCACCCTGGGCTTGTTGGGTTGGCGTGTCCCCTTAGGGGTCTTCAAGGGAGGTTTGTAAACAGCAGAGGACGAAGTGGCCACGGAATTCACCGAAGCTGGGGTGGTGTGTAAGTACCCCGTGGTGCTCAGAGGCGTCTGCGGCCTCATCTCGTAGTCTGAAATAAGTTTCCTGGGGCAAAGTTCCTGCTTGGACACTTCGTCCAAGTCCCGCCCATGTAAGCGGAAGGGCGTCTCACAAACCACATCCCCCACTAGGGCCGAGTAAGAGATGCTGTCCAGCCAATCCTTCAGGGAGATCAGCTCACAGGAGCAGTTCCAGGGGTTTTCCTCCAGCTGTAACTCCACCACTTTATCCATGTGCTGCAGCAGCCCCACATAGGGCAGAAGTTTCAGCCGGTTCCCCCGCAGGTCCAAGTGCGTTAAGGGCACAAAACGGAAAAGGTTGTTGGGTAAACTGGACAAGAGATTATCATTGAGGATAAGCACCTGCAACAAATGCAGTTTCCCAAAAGCATTGGGTTCAATGACACTGATGTAATTGTAATCGACCTGTAGGTACTCCAGGCTCTCCAAACCAAGGAATATATCATCCCGCAGAAGTTCCAGCTTATTATTGTTCAGATGCAGTCTCCTTAAACCCCTAAGCCCGTGGAAAGCCCCCGTCTCAATGTCCTGGATCACGTTGCTACCCAGATGCAAAATTGAAGCCCCAGTGTAGTTGACAAACTCATTGGGATAGAGACGGTTCAGAAGGTTTCCAGACAACAAGAGGTGGTAGACTGGGAAGCGGGGCGGGCTGATCTCAGAGAGGCTGATGATCCCTCGGTTTTCACAGCTCACAGTTAAAATGCCGTCCTTCTCCTCACAAGGACATGCATTGTCACAGATTTCCCCATAATAATCGATGGTTTCTGCACACGAAAGGACGAGAGATGTTAGAGCAAATGCTAGAGTCTGCAGCATCCAGCTATGCATTTTTCTGTGGAGGTCCTGTTCCAAAGTTACCAGGGGGCAGCAAGGGTGCATTTTACCTCCTGCAAGGGAGAGAGGAGAAAGGAAACAACAGAATATGACAAGAATTTAAGGGATTGCTCAGGAAGTCTCTTTTCCCTGATACTATTTCTCTGAAATGCAGTAGGAGGGGCTATGAATGACACCCCCTCTCCAACATGGACATTTCCAGACTTTACTAAAATCTGATAATCATTTTGATTTCAATGTTGATTTCATTTCCTAATGAGCACAACAGGAAATGCTGCTCTCTACAAGATCAGGGCAGGTTAGATAATGTTCCATTTTTGTGTGCTTCCTGTGCCCCCCTCCCTTTTCAGAACCAACCCATAAGGATACATAAAATGGCTGTCAGTTCAGTTTCATGGTTCTAATTTAAGAGGGGGGGGGGAAGCACCATTTTACAACGTTCCCCACCTCACCTATCCCCAGCCACTCTGCCCTTCTTTCAGAATCTCTTCAGTGAACAGTTCACAGTGAAGCTCTCCCGTTTTCACAGAAAGGCAGGGAGCCAGAAGATGACAAGGTGGGACCTAAAGGATACTTTTCAGAGTCACAAAGGATATAAGACAATGCATCAAAAGGACCCCAAAGAAGCTCTTAAATCTCCAATTGTCTTCGGGGAGCTTCAGGGGAGAAAAAGGAGAGCGTGCTGGCTTTGATGCTGGACTTCGCTACCCAAGCTATTAAGCACATCAGCATCCTAATTGCATGCACGGTGCCACTTAACAGTGCTTCTCAGAGAGCGCCCTGCATCCACTCCTCATTGATCATGTCAGCGACGCTACCAAACCGCATCCCTCAGCCACGGAAATAGTTCTGCACCGTGGATTGCAAAGAGCTCTGCGAAGGCATCCGCAATCCCAGAACACCTTCCCATACCTGGAGTTTAAGGAGGACATTCCAACTGCTTACCCGGAATCAGCTAAAAGTACACCAAGGGCCAGGGCCACCCCCCACCCCCCTTACCTGGGGCTGCACGTCTGATTGCCATGGTATACAAAATTAACCCCATTGAATTAGCAAGATTTGGGCTGAACTACGACAGTGCCAGAAAGCCCATTGTGGGAGTTGCTTACTACGTTTAATTGTCAAGGCTTTCCCCCTCCCCTTGGGGAAAGGACACTTGGGCTGATTAAAGACAAAATAGAAAGGAGGGAAGAACAGCAAGTGACATAGGTCAGTGCTTACATATCCGAGTCTCATTTCCCCAAGGAATCCATCTGATCCCCTCCCCCTTTTCTTTCTTGCTTTCTTTTTGTCTCCTGGCTTAAAGGCTTCCTTCGACTTCCTACTTCGACTCGACAGCAGTACTCATAGGAGAAAGGACATAAATGGAGCGAGTGTGTGAATGTGTGTGAGAGCGTGTTGCGTTGGTGGGAGGGAGGGGACGCTTCGTGGAAATCCGCTGCTGGGGGAACCAATGCCTCGCCTTTGGTCACCCTCGCCTTTGCCACGCCACCACCCAAGTCGGGTGTCGAATCGCAACCCAAAACTAGAGCCAAGGCATTTCGGAGTCATGGGTTCAAGCACGGAGACCTCGGTTTGGATCCCCGAGCCGGATCCAGCCCATGTTATCCGGAGCCCCCGCATTCACACGCACATGTGCGAGGGCGCCTGCGAATCATTCGCGGGCGGCCACCCAGACGTGCAGGGAAGAACCGGAATCACCGGGCAGAGATACGCGCAAGTACCCCCGACCTCCCAACGCCACGGCGAACACGTCCTGGCTTCAAAGCGGAAAAACACACCCACTAGGAAAGCGAAATGTTTACCTTGAAATTTCGGTTCTCCGCTGG